TAGAGAAATCTTCAACAAATTGTCTGTAATAATTACAAAATCCAAGAAATGACTGCAATTCTTTGACATTAGCAGGCTTGGGCCAATCACGAACAGCAGCAATTTTTCTATCGCTACAGCTTACACCATATTCAGATATTACATGTCCCAAATATTCCACTTTACGACGAAAAAGTTTACACTTCTCCGGCTTGAATTTCAGTCCAGCAGCACGAATTCTTACAAAAACTTCACGTAAGCTGCTCATGGCCAGATCAAAGTTTTCGCCATAAGCCAAAATATCATCTAAAAATGCGAGACATATTTTCCATAAAATTCCAGCCAAAACTTTGTCTATTAAACGCTGGAAGCAAGATGGCGCATTGGCCAGACCGAAGGCAAGAACACGGAATTGAAAATGATTATTTCCTGGCAAGCTGAATGCTGTTTTTTCCCGATCTTCTGGGTCGAGTTCTACTTGCCAGTACCCACTCGCCAAGTCCAACGATGAAAACCACTTTGCTTTACCCAATGCATCCAAAATATCATCAATTCTTGGCAAACTGTAGGCATCTTTGATGGTTACCAGGTTAATTTTCCGGAAATCGATACAAAAACGACAACTTCCGTCTTTCTTAGGAACGAGAACAATAGGCGAATTATAGGGACTTTCACTCGGTTCTATTACACCTTGAGCAAGCATGCTCTGTACTTGTTTCTCTGCGATTTCTCTTTTCGCCCATCCCATACGTCGCGGTGGAACTTTGATTGGTTCAGATGTTGACGTTTTAATCTTATGTTTGACTACAGAAGTTCGTCCCAGTTTGCCATCAGGACCAGCAAAAATATCCTGAAATTCGATGAGCAAATCATGAACACTTTGACGTTGTTCAACCGTTAAATCTTCTGGATCGTCGACGAGCTTCTTCAAATGTTCAGGTAGTTCCCTGGTGTCCATGACATCACCAGGCACCACTTGTTCCAGAGAAGAGACAGTCAGGTTTTCTCTTGGGCATAGTAAACCGATGAGCAAATCCGCAGGTATTTCTACCGCTTCCTTGCTAACATTGACCACCATGAGAGGCACTAAAGAAGAGCATGAGGCGTCCACCACTCCGGGAAATAAAAATAAACCACGATGGCCATACTCGCTCTCAAACACACACGCAGCCTCTGCCACAGCTATGACGTCACTATTGGGTTTCCATGGGCAATTCAAACGACCATAAATCACCATCTCACTCTCTCTGGGAACAGTCACACATTTATCTACAACAATTCTACAACTAGGAACAGACGAAACAGGCTTAGTCAGGGAAACAGTTTTACCATCAACCTCCATTTGACCTACAGACATATGCAAAACACAGTCATGCTTTTGGAAATAATCCATACCAAGCAAACCATAGGGGGCACCAAGATCAGCAACAATCACTCTCTGAACAGCACACACAGAATCAATACAAATTTTCAAATCAATCATACCACGAGCTTTCAGAGAAGTACCATTAGCAGTTTGAAAACAAACATCACAAGGAGACAAATCACACTCCTTTCCACCAATAGAACAAAAAACTGCATAATCTATAAGCGTAGCAGCACTACCAGAATCAATAAGAAAACGTACAGTAATGCCATTCACATCAACCATAGCATACCAGCTAGTGGGTAATCTCAAAGAACAAATCAAATTATCAAAATCATGGTCCATGCATACATTCGTCATCTTTCCAGTAACAACTGAGGACCCCCGTGCTACTGATTTCTGTTTAAAGGCATATCATTATTCTTGGGAGCAGGGTGAAACTGTGGAATATTCCCACCGTCACGAGGAGTTTGGCCATTCCCACCCCAGGCAGAATTTGAGCTATTCCCTGGTGAAAAATTTCCTACCGGGCCACTGGCCGCTTGCTGGGCCGAATAAGCAGAAGGCTGCGAATTCTGTGGAACATAATATCTATCACACTGAGAAGCTATATGACCCCTGCCATTACATATCTGGCAGAGATTCTCTGGACAATTTCTACGTATGTGACCCTTGGCACCACAACCATAGCAAGTAATACCTTCATTCCTACGCCCACCCTTCTGACGGGAAAATCGGGGTTGATGACCTTTGTCAACCATAGCACGAAAACTGTCAAGCATCTCTTTAATATCATTCCGCAGCTTACTAAATTCAGATTCACACACACCATCATCACGCTCAGAATTATTCACAACAGCTACCATGGGCTTACTAGCACGATTACAACCAGGTGCACTGTGCGTAGCATCAATAGAATGACAAACATCAGCCACAGTAATTAATTCATCCAAACTCTGAGTCTGCCTGATAGTCAAAGTCTTACACATCTCGAAATCAGGAAAACCTGAAATGAAACGCTGCTTAATCAGATTCTCACGAGCAATAACATCCAAAGAAGGATAAGCCTTCCTCGACAATGCACGAAGAGAAGTAGCATATTCCGTTGGCGTCTCAGTGGCCAACTTCTTCCTGTTATTAAACAAAGTAGCAAAGTATGACTCCTTACCCTCTGGATAATAACGCTTTTTCAAGTGATTCACTGCAACACTCAAACTGTGTCTATCTGGAAGGGATAATTCATTCAACAAGGACAAAGCCTTCCCACGCATACATGCAGCAAAATGAACACCAGCAATTTTATCAGTCCATCCATTACAGGTAGTAATGGATGAAAAATGACACAAATAATCATCCAAAGACATACCATCACCATTAAAAGTATCAGGCTGGATATCCACTCTCATACTATTATTCATACCAAAAGGAACTGCCTTGCAATCAGTAACGTTACCATTCACACTTGCATGCATAGGTGTAGACTGGTCAACCACACACTCATCAGCAAAATTCAATTTTTTAATAGTACCGGTACCATTCATCAAACATTCATTATCAGGGCAGTCTGGTTCACCATTCCTATCAACACTCTTAGGCACCTCAGGGGTTTTTAAAATAGGTTTAGGGATAAATGATGGCACCTCACCCTCAGCCTCGTCAATGCTCTCCAGACGGCACAACACCCGTTCGAGTACTTCCTTCATGCCAACATCTCTTTCTTCAAGTTTTGCAACACTAGCATAGACTATTTGCAGTTGTCTAGCCAGTTCTTTATTTTCAGCTTCTAGTACTTTATTCTTATCTTCAATTTCTTTATTCACCATTTGTATTTCTCTATTCATGTTTTTAATTTCTTTGTTTTCGGTTTCCATCTGGGAAATTTTATTCCATATTACATCTCGTTCCTGGTCGCAATTCTTTCTTCGATGTGACATCATGAACTTTTAATCAAAAAATCGTCTGATTTTTCAATTCTGGCGCTAGCTCGTCAATTTGCAACGGTACGACTTAACCGGAATACCGGTAGGTGCTCGCCACTAATACAGTCTAGTAATACTGTAATAATTAGTTCAGAAGATCCAATGTGCTGCAAAGACACACAAGTAGGTTCGAAGTTCACGATGCAAACGAAGAGACTTTATTAAAATAATGTAAAATCCACGCTTAAAGCAGATAAAATAGAGTGACAAAAATACGGTCCTCACCCAGCGACAGCAGAAGCAAGAAGAGCTGACACTGCACATATGCAGTGGTGGTTGGAGTCGAGTAACTGAATCTAACTATTGGGCGAATTAGGGCTCAGACTCCACACACCAATGCGTATGCAATAACTAGACACTAAATATAAATAAAATACAAAACAATAAAAAATAGGACAATTCCAGTCCCGCCACACAAGTACTTTGACTTCGATTACCACCAATAATGAATTAGGTCTGTTTCACAGTATAAATTCTTCAAGGCAATTGTTAATTCATATAATTCAAATTTGGTTAAAGAGTAACTGAGATGAACATTGATTTAATAAGTATTCTCCATATATTCTTTCAGAAGTTAACTATTTTTTTCTGTGAGTTATGTTCGTCATAAAATAATGCATGCTGAAGAAGATATTTACAAGTGAAATATTCTAAATTATTTCTAAAATTAAAAATTTATTAAATCGAATACAACGAATCACGAATGTATTCGATTCATTTCGGGCATCCCTGAAACCTAGCTCCGAAGTTAGTCTTTCAAAAACACCCTTGAGTTTTTTTTTTTGGTGGATAAGATCAGTAGCTCAATAATACTGCAATGTAAAGCAAAGTTCATTTGTCTCAGTGGATTAAATGCATTGAAGTAGAATTGTTATAAAAAAATTGAAATCAAATCAACAATTAAGATAAAACAATTGCATATTTAAACATATACAGTGCTTTTATAGCAAGGTGCTGATAAAAGAGTTACAAATGGCCTCTGTCGCACAAAGAGCATATGTTAAACCAAAAGTTCTCAAACTTTTGACGTTATGGGGTGAAGAGTTGGAATAATTCACGTAGCCCAAAAAATTTGACCCAATATTAAAAAAAGAATACCGAAATGTGGCAACAAGGCAGTATTTGAAATATGGCAATGACTATTTTCTGACAGTACTGCTATATCTTGTTTCAAGTTACACATGAACCGCTACATATTTGTGACAGGGGCTCTTTTATCCTTTTATCAGTGCTCTTTCTGCTTTCAGTGCTTTTAGTGTTTGGGACTTTGATTTGAGCAAACTTGCAACTCTGCTATCACTACTCTTTCCACTTTGGTTGAGTAATTCGACTCTATTTCGAGTATATTTGTAACTTGTTAATTCTGACCATTGGCATCTTGAGTAGTAAATACACAGTTAAGAATAAGAATATAAACTACAATCAAATAATAAAGATTTAATTATAGAAATAAAGCCTAAAAAATTTCTAAAACACAGCTTGAAGTTTGGGAAGTGACTAACAGTTGAGGTTGCGTGAAACTAACTACCTTTCCTTGCTCTCTATGCCTTTGCGCAGGTGGATCCGTATGCGTATTACGCAAGGATGCTGTAGCAAGAGTGTAAATGGCTATTCTATTTTATTCAAAAGTCTTGCTGCACACGAACACAAATATATTTCTGTAACGTTTCGTCTGACCGAGGTCAGACTTCTTCAGACAAGCATTTTACAACTATAACAAGAAACGCAATTGCATGCACATAAATATTGGTTTCAAATGTTGGGTCTGTTTGCGATAGAGAGATATAAATAAAATTGGTACAGTGCCAGAACAATGGGGAAGCTAAGTTTGATTTAAAATCAATAGATACCCCACAGTGTAGTGAGTGAATGAACATGAACGGTTATAATGCTGGACGTTAATAACAGTAGTTGTCCTTTGTAACTTCACAGGAAAATAGGGTACTCCCGGAGTATGTGTACCAGGAAAGGGTTAGGCCATAATTTTATTCCAATTTTCCTTATTTTAGTTCTATTACGAATTCGAGAACTAGACAAGTGAATCCCATAGCATTTGTACCTGAAATTATGGCCTGACCCTAACCTGGTACACATAATAATAGACTATGATTAATTAAGTTACTTTGACCAATATGAAATGATATTCTAAGTCAGGGGCGGGCAATTATTTTTCTCAGTGGGCCAGTCACAAATAATAGATTTGGTCACTGGAGACTCAAAACATTTCATTTGCAAATAACAAGCATAACAGCTAATGTACAACAAACAGCCAGTGTACCAAGTGGCACAATTATATTCAGGTGCAAATAATACGTGATCTATATTTTAGCCGATGATTCGTTATTTTCATCGAAATATCCAACGCAAATTTATAGCCATGAAAACCATAGTCATAATTGATATAGGCACAAGTGGGCCGGATGAAACACTTCGGTTAGCCGTAACTGGCCCGTGGGCCGCAGTTCAAATCTATTTTTACATCTTTGTTCCTGATCACCTTTGACCTTTGCTACTTCAACCATGAAATCATGCACTAACTGCCTTATCTCAGGATGCTTAGCAGTATAGTGCTTCACTGCATTCGAATGAAGCGAATGTAAGAAGATTTTGTCGTGAGGTCAGAGGTCGTCTTCTTGTACAAAGTCTCGCCTAGATGAATGTCTATTCTGTAAAAAATAAAAAATTTCGGTTTGAGAATTGAATTTCATATTTAAAAAGAAATCGAATTCGATCAGAAAACGAAGCTAATAAAGCCTTCCAACTAGATTTTGCATTCATGTTGCATCAACACCATGCAAATATTGCTTTTACAAGACACTCCAGCAGTGTGTGTACCAAAACGGAGGTAACTAATTTTGTTCGCCTACTTTACATCAAGTTGTGTAAAGGGACTCAAACGTATAGGCAGGGGGTTATATTCACTTGGCTAACACAAACAGTTCCTGAACTCGTAATAGAACTCGTATAGAATATTAATCATATGACGAACCACGATTACCAGTCCATGTCGGGTATGAGTATAGTTAGCCAGTTATTTGTTTCCAGATGCTTAGACATGCTGCTAATCGGTTATTCATTTGTTTTTTATCAATCTGTCAAATATGGTATTTGTTACGTTGAGGAGTTGAAACTTATATTAATTACAGTACTGTAATACCGTACCGGTAAATATTGTAAATGTTAGATGGTGGATTTCAGAGACATGAACTTGATGAAGAAAGATACGTGGACCACCTTACGACAGCAAACAGTTCCGCAAGCCATATTCTCAAAAATAACATGTTTTGAACCTGTGAACTCTTGAAGGGCTCCACGCCCCTTAGGACGATACACCAACTGACAAGCCATAATTTTCGAATATATTCTTGCCTACAAACCTCTGATCATCTTTAGCATGTAAAATCATAACAGGAGCTTTTATTGTCGGCAGATACTTCTCAGTCCTGAGCTCAATGTCATATTGTTTGATATTCTTGTGAAGACCTCATGAAAGGATAGAGCCGATAGAAATACTGAAAGAGAGATGTAATGTAATAAATACACAATTTCGAAGTCTTGGCGCACTACCACAATGGCATAGGTCTCAAAGAGTGATCAGCGACTAGTTGCTAAGTGCGCAGCAAAAATTAACAGAATTCTGTTAACCCTTTTTTTCCGCTGTATACAATCGACTTTTTGTACCATTTTATAATATGTAATGACCAGTTAACCAAACGAACAAGGAACACGCCCAATATCTCTTTAAAAAGCTTAACGCGAAGTAATCAATGATATGTGAGAGCATGTCCACGATAGTTGTCTGGAATCTTTGTTTGTTTATTATGTGCGCGAAATTGTTTCCCGCTCGTTCAAATGACTTATTTTTGAAGTAATGACAAATACTTTCGTGTATCTTTAAGCTTTGAAATACCTACACAAATAAAATTCACTTAGTAGTAAAATAAAAAATTTACAAAAAAAAAATTTTGACAGATCAAGCACGGATCATAGTTGGATGCTCAAAATGATTTAGTTAGTGCGGAATACTTCACAAAACATGAACATAAACGTAAAATAGTCCGAAAATAACTATTATGACCAAGGATGGTAATACGAATATATTCGTCATACGGAACAAAAGAGTTAAGTAGCAAGTGCCGAACTGGAAAGATTTTAGCCTTTCTAATATATAGTATATCCTTACATATCGTTAGATATCAGTTGATACTGATGCCGGGCTTTGTACAGTAAGAAAAAGCGTTGATAAGCATCGTATAATACTATATCACATCATAGAAATTAAGTTATTCCCCAAGTATGTGAACCAAAATGGTGGACACCAGAACGTAGTATGTATACATGGTTAGGGTTATGCCATAATTTTATTCCAATTTTCCTTTCGGTTTCGGAGTTCGAAGACTAGCCAAGTGATACCCGTAATATATGTATCTGAATTTATTGCCTAATTCTAACCTGGTACAAATATTACGATCAGATGTCCGCCATCTTGGTTCACATACTACGGGAGTACCTAAATGAAGCAAAAATCTCACCTTAGACAGTGGAAAGCAGTCCGCGGCATCGTATGTATTCGTGAACCGAGCTTCAAGTATAAGACAGTCGGTGAGTCGAGTGCCATCTTTCTGGCCGTACATAAGCGATAGCGCCCTCGTGCTGATGTACGAGCCGAGTGAATGACCCCAGAGCACGATTGTCACGTCTTCTTTCTGGAGCTGGAAAATTAAATAAAGCGTCAGAAATTTGATAATTAGATTTCTTCAGAAGAAGACAATGCTGGGAGTTTACCTAAATTCCAGGAATGCAAGTTCAATTTAGCTCTATGTCTCATTAACATAATAAAGGTTAATAATAAAAAAATTAAATCTTCAATCAGTTTTGTTCCTGATAACCTTTGATCTTTGCTACTCGACCAAAGCAATTATATTCATTGCCTAATTAAACAGCAAAAAAAGAAAAATTAAATATCGATCAATTCAAATCTATTTTTACTTCCTTGTTCCTGATTACCTTTGACCTTTGCTACTTCAACCATGAAATCATGCACTAACTGCCTTATCTCCGGGTGCTTAGCAGTGTAGTGTTTTACTCCGTGATCCTCGTGTATTCGAATGAAACGAATGTGAGGAGATTTTGTCATGGGGTCAGAGGTCGTCTTTTTGTACAGAGTCTCACCGAGATGAATGTCGATTCTGTAAGGAATGGAATACTTTGGTTTGAGAATTGGATTTTTTTATTTCAAAAGAAAGCGAATCCGAATCGATTAGGAAGCGAAGCTAATAGGGCCTACCAACTAAACTTTGCATTAATGTTGCATCAACACCATGCAAGTATTGCTTTTACAGGGGGCTCCAGAAATGTGTCAAAGGGCGACCAGTTTTCTTGTAATCAAAGCCAGAGTTATTGTAAATCGTTTGACTTGATTTGAGAGACGTGTAACGAAGTTGACCATGCTAGTTAAGACATGAATAAGTGTGTCTTTGGGAAGCGCTCCAGAAGTATGTGTACCAAAATGGAGGTAACTAATTTTGTTCATCTACTTGACATCAAGTTGTGTAAAGGTACTGAAACCTATGGGCAGAGGATATATTTACTTGGCTGACACAGTCCTCGAACACGTAATAGAACTAAAGTAAGAAAATCAGAATGAAATTATGCCCTAACCTGGTACACATACTACGGGAGTACCCTTTTACAAACCCTGGCTTGCTTTAAGCATGGAAAATTCTGATGAGGTATCAATAAAAAGCGAAGGATAGGATTTACATATTTACCCCGGGGGAGAGAAAAGCCGCCAGGACAGCTTAATCATATAGCGAACCGCGGCCTCTCGTCCGATTACCAGTCCTTGTCGGTTATGGGATTGTTTAGCGAGTTATTTGTTTTCCAATGCGTGGACTGACATTTTATTATACTTTTGGGGACAAGAAAATTGGGGCGACCGCTCCTCCCCCCTCCTTGGACTTGATGCATGGAGCTTGTTTTGCTGAGGAGTCGAAATAAACTTATATTAAATACCGTACTGTAAGACCGTACCGGTAAATATTGTAAATGATGATGATGATGAATTTACGAGACATAACTTGATGATGGAGGTTACATGAACCATCTTACGACAGTAAACAGTTCCGCAAGCCATATTCTCATAAATAACATGTTTTGAACCTCTTGAAGGGCGCCACGTAAGCGTGTTAATTCGGTTAGAACGATACACCAACTGGCAAGCCATACCTTTCAATTATTTCTGCCTACATACCTCTGATCATCTTTAGCGTGTAGGATCATAACAGGAGCCTTTATTGTCGGCAGATACTTCTCCGTCCTGAGCTCTACGTCATATTGTTTGATATTCTTGTGAACCTGAGACCTCATGAAGGGATAGAGCAGATAGAAATACTGAAAGAGAGATGTAATAAATACAATTTTTAGATGTTATTCAATTCAAAAGTCTTGGCGCACTACCACAATGGCATAGTACAGAGGTCCCCAAAGAGTGATCAGCAACTAGTTAATAAGTTTTCGCAAAAATTAACAGAATTCTGTTAACAAGGACCAAACTGGGAAGATTTCAGCCCTTCCAAAAGATAGTATATCCTTGCATATCGTTAGATACTAGTATCTGTTGCTACTGGTGCCAGGCCTTGCACGTGAAAAAAGCGTTAATAAGCATCATAATATGGCGGACCAAGATGGCGGACACCAGAACGTAGTATGTGTACCAGATTAGGGTTAGTCCATAATTTTATTCCAATTTTCCTTATTTTAGTTCTATTACGAGTTCGGGGACTAGCCAAGTGACTTCGTAGTATTTGTACCTGAAATCATTGCCTAAACCTAACCTGGTACACATACTTCGTTCAGATGTCCGCCATCTTGGTTCACATGCTACGGGAGTACCGAAATGAAACAAAATATAAATTTCACCTTAGATAGTGGGAAGCAGTCTGCGGCATCGTATGTATTCGTGAACGGAGCTTCAAGTATCAGACAGTCAGGGAGTCGAGTGCCATCTTTCTGGTCGTACATGAGCGATAGCGCCCTCGTGCTGATGTAAGTGCCGAGTGAATGACCCCAAAGCACGATTGTCACATCTTCTTTCTGGAGCTGGGTGATTAAATACATTAAGTGTCAGAAATTTGACAATTACTGATTCGATTTTTATAACTTGGTAATCAGGGGAATTCCCTATTGACAGGCAACTGTGTTATGCATGTATAAGTTGACCCCCGCACAATCAGGGTTATGCGCTTATAAAACTGAAATTTAGTGTGATTAGAGTGAGGCGCATATAAGCCGACCCTTTAGTTTGGGAACTTTTTTTTTGAGTTCAAACTGTGCGTGTATACAATTTATATATGGTGTACCTCTGCTTTGCTGATATTAGCCATATGATTAAGCAGTCTTATTGGCTTTTTTCACCCCTGAGACAAATATAAACAATACTTAATCCTACCTGCTTGACCGTCCACTTATACACGCTAATTGCATCCTCCAAGGCTACTCAACTGGCGGACCGCGGTCCAAATCCGGACCTTTCGATGGATTCAAACCGCACCTAATTCTTTATTTTGGATCATTAGCCCCACTTTTGAAGTTTTCTTTTATAAAATGACTTTTATAGCTTTGAATATATATGAAAATACCTATAACATCATAATAAACAATCTTGATTTGCTAATAATCATCAGCCGGCCGAGGAAGTGCACGTTTAAGGATGCCGAAATATACCGTACATGATCGCGTATAGGCCGAGTTTAAAACTAAAAAAAAAAGTTGCCAAACTAAGGGACCGTCGTATACGCGCATGACTCAGATTGCACCAAAAAATCGGCTCATTCACGTATGAAAATTTGATCACGCAACGAGATGATATTATGCTGACTTGCCGGTAATTCCAAAAGCTTCAAACCATACCAAGTTCTCACGATAAAAAGCGTCGCGCACACACAAACTCGCTTGTGAAAGTGAATTGTCTTATCATACAGCTGATGGCTTGTACAGTCTGTGATTGGTTGTTTAACACGTGACGCTTGTACAGGCTGTGATTGACAACAATCCCTTCCATTAATACAAATCACGACGCTCGAAAAGCAATATAGACATTATTAACATGAATTTACAAGTAAGAGTTACGAGTAATGATTTACGGCCGTCGCTAACAAACAGAAATGATAAATGTTAGAAATATTTGTGTTACAGCAATTTTGTTTTCTTACTGCACCTTTCTTAAGGAGTCTGGCGTGTTAAGATTCGTAGTGATTTATAAGAATGTGTTGATACAGCGTTATTTCTTTCCTTGAAACGGACAAGGAACGAAATTAATCGTCGTTGTGGCGATCAAAGGAAATTGTTTTATGCTAATTCAGGAACTCTATTTTAAACTCCCGACACAATCACGACACATTGAAAAGCAATATAGACTTTATTAACATAAATTAACAAGTAAGAGTTACGGGTAATAATCCACCTACGGCCCTCGCTAACATGCAGAAACGATAAACGTGAGAAATGTTTGCGTTACAGTAATTTTGTTCTCTATTACGTTTTTCTTGAAGCGTCCGGCGTGTAACAATTCGTGGGACCGGCCTATGTGCGATTTTTTATAAAATCGTTGTTTTAAGGCCGTTTTTAGGGAGTCGGCCTATTCTCGATATAGGCGTGATTTCGGGAAAATACGGTAATTTCTGTAAAGACCGGACTCAAATAATTTTGAAAAAAATAGTTGAGTAGCCCTGGCCTAGGCCACGATTCGGCAACATTTGGCATTAAAAGAGCCATATGGCATCGTCTACCCCTGACATGGGCAAACTACGCAAGCCAAATCTAGCCCGTTGGGTTATTCAATATGGCCCGCCTGATGCTGCCACAACTGAAAACCAAATTTTGATGTTTTAGCGAAAAATAGGAATTTGTTGAGATTGGGATTAAATGTAGTTTTGGCAAGAGGCTTGTTGTTTTTCACTTTTGTAACACTGTATATATTGTTGTATATGTATGTAACATTTACGTCACACTTACATGGCCCGTCAGTGTAGATGGGCAAAATTTGGGCCCCAGGTCCAAAAAACTTGCCCACCCCCGGTCTATACCAAACTCAAACCTACTCGAGCCGCAACATGTACTCTAATGTCAGATACTATTAGAACTATCGAAAAACCACTTATGATTCAATATTCTAGTTCTAACTAATTCACCAACGCTGTCTTACAATTAGTCAGGGTAGACCAGTGATCAGCAGCATACGACTCTTTGTTTTCGGAGCTCTGGCTTCCGTGAATCAAAGTGGCAACAGCCGTTTTTGTTAGAAGCAGTGGGGATTCAATGAAAGTCGGAGACATAAAGTCTATTACTACTCACTAATTACACATGACAACAGGTATAAATCGTGAGTGGTACAATAGGTCGCATCAAAGTGATTCAAATCTGTCAAAACAAACTTTTTCTTTTTAATTCCAAGTTATTTTTTATTTCGTCGTAAACTGAATTATTGCATCATAAGTGGTTATCCGGTAGTTTTAATAGCCACTGACATTAGAGTAGATGTTGCGGCTCCGAGTACATTTGAGTTTGACAAAAAGGATTCGACCATATTATTCATACCTGATTTCTGCAGCTCTGAATATAAATCTCTTCGATGCTTGAAACCACGATGAAACGAGTTGCCATGGCAATAAATGATGATTTTCTCAGCGTCTTGTAATGACCCTGATTTGACCTCTGGAGTATCGTACTGAGTGACTGGCGGAATATGCCAAACGGCTAAAGTACTTCCACTCGAAGACTTCACATAGCAGTTCTTGCTCTCTTTAAGATTGTAGGCCTGAAGTAAAAAAAGAAAATTTAAGAGTTAGGAATTGATCACTATAATAAGGGTATCTGGTTGAAGCAAGGTTTAGTGCATTTACTCATAAGTGAAGGGACATATTACTGATCGGAGTTATTAAGGTCACTTACTCAGAAGTAAAAGAGACTCATCTCTGAGCAAAGTTACGGGTACTCACTCAAAAGTAAAGGAGACGCTTCTCTGAGCAGAGTTACTCGCACACACTCAGATAAGGAGACTCATCTCTGAGCAAAGTTATGGGCACTCATTCAGAAGCACTCACTCATACAAACGTCTTGTAGTAGGTCTTACTTTGTCTGGTTTGTTCAGCTTCAGTAACCATACAGGTGGGCAGACTCTGTTGAGAAATAATCCTTCAAAGACGATTTTTGGATAAATCTTGAAAATCAGCGGAATTGTGACGTAAACCAAGAATCCATAGATCACAAAATAACATGAGGAACTGAATATTCCACTCATGCATTCGTAAAAAATTGTCGCCATTTTTAAATAAAGAGAGAGAGAATTCATTCGAACGCAAGTATGATGGGGTCCAAGCAATATCCAAGGGAATGAAATATTGTAGAAAATTGGCTGATGCAAATCTTGGAGAAGTTCAAGTCAGCAAAAGAAACCCAATAAGAATTGCACGATACCGGTACCAAAGGTTGTTTCTGCTATCACTGTATCAGCATCTGTGTGGTACGTTACCACACTTGTTATTAAAATATAGACATTATTTCATAGGAGAAGTCTACTTTAACCTGTTAACATTACGGTATCTGATGACTGAATAGGGAATATTGAACCTAGTACAGTACGGTAGTAGTGCACTGTTTGCTACCATACTGCCATACCAAAGTACATGAGACCCTTTCCTCTTCCCGGGATAATATAGGATTTACATATTTATCCCGGGGGAGAAGAACGCCGATAAGACGGCTTAACTATATGGTAAACCACGGCCTCTCGTCCAGTTACGGTACCGGTACCAGGCCGGGATTAGTTACCGGCACGGTATGTATTTATTTGTTATTCGAAAGCACAGAAGCACGGACTTAAATAAATATGTATCCTATTATTTGACAAACTGTGCGAGTTACGTACCAATAAATGTCAAACGATCATTATAGTCAAGATAACACACATTTATCTCAACTGAAATCAACTTCGCTTTCGAGAAACGGTACCGGCTGACCGGTATATTGCAGATTAAAAATCTCAGAAAATCGGTCTCCGTTCCTAACCAGCGTAGTGCGAGAACACGCCATCCGATGGACGTTTGCGATAACTGTGGGAGCGCTGATTGCGAATTTGGAAGCGCTTTAATAATATTTAACAATTTTATTTACTCAGGATGGGTTTTACCAGTGGCGGCGCGTCAATAGGGCCAACCGGGGCAATGCCCCGGTTGTTTTTCCGGTATAATAAAAAATATTCTAAAATTACCTCAATATCGGTTGCACAGACTGTCTACACTAGCCATATTCTCCCGACATGGTTCATTTTTCGCTCGCAAAGCCTTCGCCGAACGTCGACGGGGCGACGCCGATTTTGCCCCGGTTGCTCATTGTATATCGTATTCTCTCTTTTATCTTCCACTCGCCGCGTTTGTCTCGTTTGTTTTCTGTTTCTTTTACTAAATCATCGGGGCCGATCGGGGCTAGCCCCGAAATTATGACGACACAATGCCGACGTTTCTTACAACAACGTGTTGACATATTCACGCATTCCTTCTCGTTCGTTGGTTGCTTGAAGGGTTGATAGTTTCCTCGCCTTCGTTTTTGTCGCTTGTTTCGCTATCAGTTGGAGTTAATCAGTTAGAGACTATTAGTCCATTTGCTTTCGATTTTCCACATTCCTTTTGAGCTCCTCACTTCTTTCCGGCTTCGCATTTCTTAGCCTTAGACCTTATAATGAATAAGGTTGATGCACTACTTCGCACTCCGTTTTCGCAGCTGCCGCTGGAACAAAAATTAGAGGTACAACGTCTTGGGCCTTATCAACCAAAAAATTGTTCGCTGGAACAATCCCATGATGGAGGAAAGCGTCGGCGTACATTCTGCGCAAAAACTTGGTATAAAAAACACGAATGGTTGTGTTACAGCGAAGACAAAAATGCCCTTTTTTTGTTTTTATTGCCTACTTTTTGCTACCGCCCGTGACTCACGTTGGTGTAAATTTGGTTTTAGAGATCTTAAACATCTTTCCGAGCGTGCCAGGGATCATCAATCTTCTATGGAGCATCTGGACAATGCAGTAAAATACCGAACATTCGGAAATGTTAATATTGCAGCACAGTTGGATGAAGGACGCGCGGTTTCTATTCGTCGGCACAACCAAAACGTCGAGAAAAACCGCCATGTTCTCGGTCGATTGATAGATGTTTTGAAGTTCATTGGTTGTCACGAGCTGTCTCTCCGTGGGCACGATGAACGGGCTGGCTCTTCTAATAGAGGGGTATTTTTTGATATGGTGGAATTGAGAGATCATCTTGATGCCGCAACTGTTTCGAAAGGGACATCTAAGGATATCCAAAATGATTTGCTCGACTCAATGTATAAAATTTATTTACAACATTTGGCTCTGGAAATTGAGAATTGCCAGTTCCTTTCGATTCAGTCTGACGAGACAACTGACATCACGTGCGTTTCCCAACTGGCTGTGATTTTTCGGTTTGTGAAATATGGTAAACCTACCGAGAGATTTCACAGCTTTGTACCAATCGTTGATCGCACGGCTTGCGGGATATAGGCTGTACTGAAAGAAGTGTTACAGCCTTACAACGCGAAATCAAAATTGATAGCTCAAACTTATGACGGCGCGGCAGTCATGAGTGGGTCGAAACATGGTGTTCAAGTTTATATAAAAGAAGATTTTCCTCATGCGCATTTTTTACATTGTTATGCACACCAATTAAACCTCGTTATTAAAAATATGTGTCTTGATACCCCTCTCGTCCGTATATTTTTTGCAAATGTTTCGGGGTTTTCTTCATTTTTTTCCGTTTCGCCGAAGCGCTCTGACCTCCTTCGCCAGATATGTAGCCGCCGTCTCCCAGCTTGTGCACCAACACGGTGGAACTTCCAATCACGCGTGGTGCAGGGCGTGTCCGAAATTAGGTCTGAGCTCATTGAGTGTTTCAATGGCATTCAGAGCTCTCCGGTTTGGGACGAACGCTCTGTGAGGGAGGCGGCAGTCTAAAGCGTCTGCTAGAAGATGGTGAGTTTTCATTTTTTCTCGCTTTTTTCTCCACAATATTCTATCATGTGGATGTATTATACGGCGCATTGCAGTCAAGGCTAATGGATGGAGCGTCTGTGCAGTCGTGTATTTCAGACTTCTGCGATGCTGTATCTCGTATCCGGGAAACAATAAAATACGACGACACATGGAGTGCTTCTCTACGCCGCGGGCAAACAACGCAGCGTTTGATTTTGTCTGCAAAGGAATGCTGTGACATCCTGGTGAATCAAATAGGCGATCGTCTGCGCACTGAACACCTTGCCGCGTTCTCTTTGATGAACCCCAAAAATTTTTCAAAATTTGCACGTCAATTTCCCATCCATTTGTTGGCTACTGTCTCCAAATTTTACCCCATGATAAACGTGGGTAAATTGGAAAATGAATTGCGATGTATATACACCAATCAAACTTTTTTTTAACATCACATCAACTTGCGCGCTCTATGGGTTCCTCATAGATAACACTCTAGTAACTACCTTTGCGGCGTCTGCAAAATTTCTGGAAATCATTTTGACGACGCCTATCTCTTCCGCCGACGCAGAGCGAACATTCAGCACGCTGAAGCGTATTAAAACGTATCTCAGAAACACAATGAAGCAAGATAGATTAAATTCCTTGGCTGTTTTATCCATTCACAGAGACGTTATTTCTGGTATGCATGACTTTAATCAGCGCGTTATTGAGCATTTTGCTTCCAAGAAACCGCGGCGTGTTGCATATATGTTCAAGCAGTAGAAGTCTAGCAGCATATATATATATCTATGAGTGAGCGACGCATGTCCTTATCTTTGCATCAACTTTCCTTTCTTCATAGTAACGTTTTAAACCTTATTTTAGGTTTTGTCTGCTTTCCCGAAGTTTCTGTTAATATTTCATTGTATTTATCTGGGTAAATATTGCCTTTCCTTTTGAAAGAGGTTTCAAAATAAACTATGTCTATATTTATTAATCCCTTGACTTGGACCGGTTTTAAAGACACTTTCTTATCGTTAAAAATTGTCGCTTTTGCCGATTGGTTGTTACCGATGGAATGGTTTTTATACTCATAAAATGATGGGAGAACTTACAGCGCTCATCCTGTCCCCGTAGATGGGGGTGACTTGGTCCCGCAGTAGCTTGCCCCGGTTGTCAAAATGACCACGCGCCGCCACTGGGTTTTACATATTTATCCCAGGAGAGAAGCAAGCTGATAAGATGACTTAATAATATAGCGAACCACGGCCTCTCACATTTTATGCCGATGCTTCATCTGAGCGGTGTGCAACCATTATTACAGGAGGGCCAGATGCAAATGGGTGAAGCCGCGGGCCGCTCTTAGAAGCTCTATCTACGAAAGGCTATGGAAATCCAACTTACGAAAATTCTTCTCGTAAAAATATTGCGTAGGCCAACGTAAGATTTTCTACACACGAAAGGCCTAATTAAAAACGGAAAACCTAGAAAATGTGTGTAGTGATATTCGTTTATTTTAGGTTAATTTGATGCAGTGCTTGAGGAAGGGGTGTTCAATTTAGAATATCGCGACCTTCGGATATCGTTTTTCGTGGCGCAAATATTTTAGCGCCGCCGTTAATTAAAAACAATTCACGTTTATTTCATTGTTTTTATCGCATTCGAAGGCAGTCGCGTCCATTGGCCAGTTTGTTTCCCGCGGGTACGTACAATATCTTGCTAGCGAAATTCA